TGTTTCATTCACAAACTCTTTATTATTAGTCTGTCTACATCTCCAAGGTTCGAAATGCTCTGTTCCACCTTGTGATGTCATGAAGTAGTAGCTTTCAAGTTAGCTACCTTTTAATTTTATTCAGTAAAGACTGGCAATTCAGGGCTGAAACTATCCAAATGATTCTAGTGAAGGTGTTTTTAAAATCCTTACACCTTCACAAGAATCACTCCTACAATTTCAGACCTAGAATTTCTAGATTAAATTAGATAATACTTTATTCTGCGATCATAGATTAGAAATTTTTGGCGATGAACCAGTTGCTCAGTCACATGACACAATTCAGGGACATCACACAGAGACATAAACACACAAGACAATTTAACTGGACCTTCTTTTGCTCATCATGGAAACTCTGATTTTATGGATTATTTTGCTCATTTTGTTTCAGGGTAGACTGATGTATGTTGTGTTTCAGATGGTATCATAGCATTCTACAGGCCAATATTATTTAAAGGGATAGTTCGTAATTTTGGACATAGGGCCTCATTTCCTAGTGAGCCAGAGTGTTGGAGACGTGTGGAGATACTTTGTTAAATATTCCATCCAGTCCTTGTATTTGCAGATGTCGCCGGTGCTAGGCTAGTGCATGTCAATGGCCATAGTTAGCCTGCCACTAAAAACAGTCTTACCCACTCCACAAAACACCTGAAGCAAATCTATTATTACTCCAGACTGTTGATGTAAATGTCTGTGTTGATAGGATCATTTTGAGACTATTTTCTCATATATCAGTCCGCCGGTGCCGAGCTTTCTATCAGGAAGTACAACTCACTGTTGCTGCTCAGATATACATCCTTCAAATGCAAAGTTGGTTTTACTTCTAAAATTATTCTATCAACACAGACATTTACATCAACAGTCTGGTGTAATAATAGATTTGCTTCAGGTGTTTTGTGGAGTGGGTAAGACTGTTTTTAGTGGCAGGCTAACTATGGCCATTGACATGCACTAGCCTAGCACCAGTGACCTCTGCAAATACAAGGACTGGATAGAATATTTGAAAAAGTGTCTCCAACACATCTCCAAAACTCTGGCTCACTAGGAAATGAGGTCCTATGTCCAAAATTCTGGACTGTCCGTTTAAGATAAACAGGGGGAAGCTAAAGTGAACATAGTTAAATACAGTGAGTTCTGGGGTCTAGTCACTGATAGAAGTGATCAGGTTCAACATTTGTGAATTTACTTTTTGGATATTTCATGGCAAAGCACCGTGTAATTAATAAGAGACTCTTGACCCCCATCTGGGAGCATGTAGTAATAAAAAGTTATTCAAAAATGTGTGAACGAAATAAAACACAACTCTAGTTATTGAGGAGGTAACTGCATTATAACATGGAATAAAGGTCACAAGAATCCATTTTGTGTAATATTGGACATTTGAAAACAAACAGTACTGACTCAAAATGCTTAACAATATACACTACTGGTCAAAAGTTTTAGAACATGCTAATTTTTCCAGTTATTTATTGCAATTCAAGTCGTGCAAGTCCAATGAAGAGCTTGAAATGGTACAAAGGTAAAAACTGAACAGACAGAGGTTAAAAAAAGATAAAAGATACAAAACACAAGTCCAAGCTCTGCCAAAACTACCACAGGAAAAAAGAACGAAATGGTAAACTTGAAAACATGGAGTGTGCAGCACAGTCTCCAGACTTAAACCCCATGGAGCTGGTTTGGGATGAACTGAACAGAAGAGCGAAAGAAAAGCAACCTACAAGTGCCACACATTTATGGGATCTTCTGCAACTGACTTGGGAAGAACTTTCTGAAGAATATTTGATTTCTATTGTAAAAAGAATGAGCCACGAGTGTGTTCAGCTGTTATATCTGCCAAAGGAGGACACTTTCATTAATCAAAAGTTTAGAATATGTTTTGGTCAACAGTAAACAGCAAACAGTAAAAAAAACTTGAAAAAGTGTGGAATACTAAAACTTTTGACTGGTAGTGTATATTAAAACAGAATATGAGTAAAACTATCTTGGATCAAAAACCAGTGTAAAAATGCTTTCTCAATTCATGAAAGTGATGTTTCTGCATTTTTCGGTTTAGTATTATATATTAATAATGAATCTCAAACCTCAGCCAAGACATTTAAGAATCTGAAATCCGACGCTGAGAGAAACTGACTTGACTTGTTCAGTTTTACGTATCTGTTGAGAAAATATGTTGGGGTGTTGCTGAAAGATGATACTTTTTTGTTCATTCCCTTGTATTTATTTTTTGTTCTCCTACTATCTATAATCACAACATATCTCTGCAACCCACGTGCCAGTAAATGTCTTGGTTGAGGTTCTAGTATAGTACAAAAAGTGAATGGACAATATAATGCTCAGGATCTACAATACACACTTCTTCAATACTTTATGAAGATGTGAGTCTGGTCACCGGTTCAGATGTTCGTGATTGACAGGTGGATTAGCCAATTAAGGACACACGAGATAATCAACAATCAAAGCACTCTAAAGTCTATTGGGGAAAAAAGCAAAAACATGAAAACATGGCGGATTTCTGCAGAATCAATGAGCAAAGCAAGAACCAATGAGCTCCTTTATTTCACATGCATCACTGAAATAAACAAATCTGATTGGATGATCATATTTGATGCAGTAGAGGGAGCAGGGACCAGATTGAAACCCCCTGTATAAAAAATACAGAGAGATGTCAGTTTGGAACCACCAGGCTAGTATCATGCAGAAATATAACTTCATACAAATATTACACTCTGAGTTTATGTTGTACCTTATTTCAGTCTATTCAGCATTCTCAATTTGCCTACCTCTCTCTCTCTCTCTCTCTCTCTCTCTCTCTCTCTCTCTCTCTCTTCTCTCTCTCTCTCTCTCTCTCTCTGTCTTGCTCCAGTATGTGGTGGGGCCCCTCTAAATGTTCGGATCGTTGGGGGCCAGACAGCGTCCCCGGGGTTCTGGCCATGGATGGTCTCGATCCGGCCTGGAGAGAGAGGACAGCCCCACGTCTGTGGAGGGTCCCTCATCAACCAGCAGTGGGTTCTGACGGCCGCTCACTGCCTCGATCCGCTGTGAGTTTAACTTGGAAAAACAAGAATACCATGCAAATGTGTTGTGGTTTATAAACTGTGTATATAAATGGACAACTGTCTGAAATGAATTCTACAGTAAGTTTATGTATATTGAGTGTGCAGGTGGTACAGTACTTCTGTGTGACTGCTGCTGTACTTTTCCATCATCAGCCTCATTAACCTGCCGAGGGACTGAAGATGGAAATTAACCATATGTTGTCTATAATGTTTACATATTTACTAGGGGTGTAACGATATCCAAGTCTCACGATACGATATTGTCATGGTATGAATCTCACGGTATGATATTTATTGCGATATCATAGGAAAGCTCACGATATGGTGGGGAGGCTCACAATTAGGGATGTAACAATTTCCACATGTCTCGGTACCATATTTTCACAATGTACATCTCACGGTACAATATTTATTGCAATATTTTGTGGAGGCCAACAAAACTGTTAACAAGCTACTTTTTTGTCTTAAAATGCCTTGACAAGACTTAATCCAAAGAACTAAGACTTAAAAGTGCTTAGAACTGTTATCTCTTCATGTAGTCTGCACTGAAATGGAGCAAAGGATCATGGTCTATGTAGTTCTCTTTGTCTTTTTTTTTTTAGCTATTGCTGTATCATAACTCTTTATTTAAGCAAAGAGACTTGTAATTCGATGTATTGTGATGGTCCAAAGTATTATTGTGAGAACTTTGACAATATCACAATATTTCGGTTATTGTTACATCCCTAATATTTACCTTTTAAATGTTTGAGTTAGAAATGATATCACTTACAATTCAAAATCAGATGAGCAGCTTCAAGGGCCTTTAATATGTTATTTTCTGATCTTTGTTATAATATTGTTTTCTCATCAAAATGTGTGTGAATGTGTTTTGTTTCATTCTCTCAAATGGAAAACATTCCACCTTGTGAAGTTATGTGGTAATAATGGAAGTGCTCCACTGTGTTTTTAAACTCCATTCACCTTCACATAATTTCAGTCCTGGAATTGTCCATCTCTATCGAACAAAAGGTAAAAGGTATCTGTTAACTTGAAATCTACTACGTCATGACATCACAAGGTGTACTTTTGAGCTTTGGAGATGTAGACAGACTAATAATAAAGGATTACTCAAACATGTGTGAATGAAACAAAGCACATTCCAGGTCTGTTTTTGAAGAGGTAACATTATAACATGACTTAAAGCTCACAAGAGTCAGTTTTGTGTAATATAAACTTTTAAATATCACAATAAAGATGTAATCGTCTGACACAGTTCCCTCTCTCCTCTGGCCCATAGACGTGACCGAGAGCCAATCTTTGTGTATTTGGGCCGACACAACTACTCCGACCCAAACCCGAACGAGGTGGAGCGTCGCGTGATCACCGTGAAGCGCCACCCGCAGTTTGATGATGTGTTTTTCGACTACGACATGTGCCTCTTGGAGCTGGACAGCCCGGTCACATTCAGTCAGTACATACAGCCCGTGTGCTTGGCCGCTAGGGGGAGCTCTGTGCACAGCGGGGTCAGCGCGTGGGTCGCAGGCTGGGGATTCACGAGCGAGAGTGAGTAAAGAGCACTACACACACGCAACCATTGTAGGAAGAAGTGCTCAGTTTTATTTCTTAATTAAAAGTATAGATACAGGGACAAAAGATTACTCAAGTAAAGTATCAAATGAAATAATCAGCGTGAGTAAAAGTATTGAAGTACCTGTTTAAAAATGTACTTTAAGAGTAAAAGGTAAAAGTATTTAGCAGAGATTTTTAGAACAATTAAAGATTCAAATGTAGTGATTTTGAGAAAGAATTTAGCTGATTTTTAAGGGATTCAAATGATTTCTAAATGTGTTTGCTCAAAATTTGCTCAAAGTTGGGACGTTAGCTCAAATGAAATGTGCTAAAAATAAGTCTCAGCCATTTCAGTAGGTCTCAAATGGTAAAGGAAAGTACATTTTACTTTTCAGTTCAGATCTAAAATGTAGTGAAGAAGAAAGTATGGATGGCTGTTCTCAAATGTCATGAAGTAAAAGTAAAAAGTATCGAAATTACTTAAATAAAATACATATACCTAAAGATTTTGTTCAAGTATTGTACTTTTACTTTTGTACTTTGTTACATTCCACCACTGTAAATAATAATGCTGATTTATTCTTAATTACAAAAACAATGGACATGATGACAAACCTGGATGTGTTCTCCATCTGCAGGTTAAGGCTCTGGCAACACAGGTTTAGTTGTGATTCTAGTACATTCATGAGTACTACTGCACTCAGTACTGAAGACTACTTGAGTACTACTGCACTCAGTACTGAAGACTACTTGAGTACTACTGCACTCAGTACTGAAGACTACTTGAGTACTACTGCACTCAGTACTGAAGACTACTTGAGTACTACTGCGCCCAGTACTAAAGACTACTTGAGTACTACTGCACCCAGTACTAAAGACAACTTGAGTACTACTGTGCCCAGTACTGAAGACTACTTGAGTACTACTGTGCCAAGTACTGAAGACTACTTGAGTACTACTGCACTCAGTACTGAAGACTACTTGAGTACTACTGTGCCAAGTACTGAAGACTACTTGAGTACTACTGCACCCAGTACTAAAGACAACTTGAGTACTACTGTGCCAAGTACTGAAGACTACTTGAGTACTACTGTACCCAGTATTAAAGAGTGCAGGATACATGCAGTTCCTGCAAATGACACATATGATGATAATGAGCTTTTAACATCATTATAACATTGCTTCCTGGCTGAAAACAAACCTGAAATTGTATTTAGCTTTATTGACATTTATTTAAAATTTTCCTGGATTATTACATCACAGGTAGAAGTCTCCTGCTGTTTTTAGTCCATAAATCAGACTCATTCAGAGAATTTGTGCCTACATGTCGACATGATAAACAAACCCAGACCTCCTCTGGACAACTCACAAACTATACTGATGATTTTTGTCTATGAATAATGTCGTGTCATACTGTGAAAGACTACAGCCCAAAGAACAACATGTCCATAGAAACAAGCAGGTCAAGTCTGTGGAGAGTCAAGTTTGTGGAGATGCAAGCCACTTAGTAACAGAAGTTATTCATGATTCTGGAGATATACTGAACTGTTTTAAATGTATTTGTTTTGTCTGTAGATAATTTCACGTTTCCGGCGGCTCTGCGGGAGGTCAGTCTCCCCATCATCGGAGACAATCAGTGTGAATGTGCCATCCCCTTCTTCCTCCCCCCGGACACTCTGTGCGCCGGGTACTCAGAGGGGGGCAAGGACGCCTGCCAGGTGAGACAGGGCAGGGGAGACTGACAGATGAGACAGGGCAGGGGAGACTGACAGGTGAGACAGGGCAGGGGAGACTGACATGTGATACGGGGGTATTTGACAGGTGAGACAATGGAAAGGGTGTCTGACAGGTGGGGCAGGAGTGACTGACAAGTGAGACAGAGCCAGGTGTGTTGGAGAGATGAGACGGACAGGGGCAGGGGCGTTTGACAGGTGAAACCGGTGCAGGGGGTCTAACAGGTGAGACAATAGGAGGGGCGTCTGACAGGTGGGGCGGGGGCGACTAACAGGTGAGACAGGGGGATGGGTGTCTGACAGGTGAGACAGTGGGAGGGGCATCTGACAGGTGAGACAGGGGATGGGTGTCTGACAGGTGAGACAGTGGGAGGGGCATCTGACAGGTGAGAGAGAGGGAGGGGCATCTGACAGGTGAGAGAGAGGGAGGGGCATCTGACAGGTGAGAGAGAGGGAGGGACATCTGACAGGTGAGACAGAGGGAGGGGCATCTGACAGGTGAGACAGAGGGAGGGACGTCCGACAGGTGAGAAAGAAGGAGGAGCATCTGACAGGTGTGACAGAGGGAGGGACGTCCGACAGGTGAACACAGGGTTAAAAACAGACATAGACATTTTTAAACTCAGCCCTGTGTCACCTGATGCATGACTCTGTGCTTTTGTGGCAGGGCGACTCGGGTGGCCCCCTGGTGGTAAAAGAGGGCCGGCGCTGGGTGCAGGTGGGCGTGGTCAGTGTCGGCGAAGGGTGCGGGCGCGCTGAGACCCCCAGCGTCTTCAGCGAAGTGTCTCTGTATGAAGACTGGATCAAGAATGTGACATCCTCTAGTAAAAGTCCCGGCTTTCTTAACGTTACATCAACAGGAGAAGATCCAGATAAAAGTTTTAGCTGTACTACACCTGCTGCTGCTACTACTACTACTACTATTACTACTACTACTACTACTAACACTTCTCCTACTACTATAACTACTACTATTAATGTTAACACAGATGATGACTACTTCACTACTCCTACTGCTACTACTACAAATATTACTACTGAGGAAGAGGATGAGCTCACCACTACTACTGCTACTACTGTTACTACTACTTATCCAACTACTACTCAAACTACTACTACTACTACTGAAAATGACGGTGGAAACGAAAGTATTTTTGACCACGGGGAGAGCTTTGTGGTGAACCTGAGTCAGGTGCTTTACTTGTTTGGTTTGGCCTTGTCACTTTTTGTGTTGGGTTAGGGATTCTATTACTACATAGAATACTAGAGTACAAGAATACTACTACTACTACTACTACAACAATTGCTATTACAGCTACTACACCCTTCACTGCTACTATAACTACCACTACTACAACTGCCAACTTCTTCTACTTCTACTACTATTACTACTACTACTCCTACTACTACAGCAACTATTACAACAACTACACCCTGCAGTGCTGCTGCTGCTACCACTGCTACTACTGCAAAATACTATTACTACTGCCACTACTACTATTGCCACTCCTACTATTACTACTACTGTTTTAAGTGCAATAAAAATATTTTAAAAACTAAAATAACAGAAAGTTATTTTAGGGTTTTGTTTTGGGTTTTTTTTGGAAGTTATGTTTTGTGGCTTTAAGTGTTGACTTTTTTCTTACTGTATTCTTTGTGTGTAAAAAAAAAAACTGAAAAGCAAATGTGTTTATGGAGTAACTCTATGGAATGGACTCAGTGATGTGATTAAACAATGTGGGAATATAACACTATTTTTAAAAAATGTATACAAAGACTGAGAATTATACAAAACAAGATCAATGTATTTAATAAGCCTTCTATGAAGAGAAGAAATTTAACTTTGTGTGTAAACTGTTTTATGTAGATTTTTTTATTATGTAATATATGTTGACAATGAATAAGGAGTGGAACCTGGTTAAGACATTCATTCTACTCCTTCTCAAACTCATTGTGACTTGTTAAATGTTACAGTTCATCACGTTCTGTGTGATTAATGTTGTTATTAATGTTTGACACATATGAATGTCATTCATTCATTCATTGCTATTGTGGTCATGTTATTGTACTGTGAGAAGTCACATTAGAGCAGGGCTCTAGCTCCTATATTCATTTGCACATGAGTTCATAGAAGAAATACGACCACTTTAGAGCTTATACTGAAATTAACTGTATTTTGGTTGAATATTTTCTGATGAAATAAATAATAAAAACAACTGAAGTATACCCAAAAAAAATCCATAATCTCTGAGCTCTTATTGGTTGGGTTCATCACAACATTACATATTTGTGCTTTTTGTTTTAATAAAAGGATTCTGTTCAAGTTTTAAACATGTCCAGAAGACAAAAAAAGACTGACAAAAAGACTGATTTGACAAAAATACTGAAATATGAACTGACAAACAAATACAAGAATCACATTTCAGATTTTTAACAGTTTTTCTGCAGAATAAGACAGGAGACTTTGTTTGTGGAGGAAATTATACCAGTTATAGTGGCATTGCGTGGGATCTAGAACACACAGTTCTCCAGTACTTTACAAAGACATGAGTCTGATCACCAGTGGATCTTGCTGAGCTCAGGTGGGTGTGATTGACAGGTGGATTAGCCAATAAAAGACACACATGATCCATCTTTATCAAAACAAATATGACTGCTTATGAGGAAAAAAGAAAGGAATATATCACAGGGGACTGAAATGAATCAATGAATGAATCAGTGAGTGATTTTATAGCTTTATAAATCTGACTGGACGATCAGGCTCTGGCTTGAGGCACAACAGAGGGAGTGTGGACCAGACTGACAGCCCTCTGTATAAAAATACATAGAGATATCAGTGAAATAGTGCCCCCTGTCATCCATCTGAAATTATAACATTAAATAAAGTCCTGCCTGAGGTCCAAGTAGAGCAGTGCCCCCCATCAGTATAATCTCAGATAATTTTTTTTAAGTCAATGACAGAAAAGTCAGTATTCACCCACGGTCTGAGAAAAAGCATGTTTTTATTTGGAGCAAACAGAAACATGAAGCTGTGGTCCAGTGACTAGTAAAATCTCTGGGGAAAGTTCAATGGTAAAGCTCCGGTGGGCGGACTCTTACAAAAATATCCATTTTTGACAGCAGCAGTTTAAACAGACCAAGATGTCCTCCTCCCATCTGCTCCTCGGCTTCGCTCTGGCTCTTTCAGCTTTAAACGGTGAGAAAAACTACAACATTTCTGCTTTTAAGGTCATAGGTGTGCACTCCTTACAGAGCTGCAGGAGTGGCCAACTTGCAGAAGTAACAGCACTGTGGCTTAAAATGATATTATCAATAGAGATAAAAGTAGTGACTCAAATAATTACTTCGACTACTGAGTACTGAGTAACTCCATTGTCAGGATGTATAGTGTACATTCTTCAGGGGTCTATAGGCACCATATTGAGCACTTTGCACCATTCAAAAGATAGAACATTGTATTTTGAATTGTTAATTTTGAGCAAATCTTGAGATGTCCATGAATAAAGTATTATCACCACAAGTTAATCAAAAAAACTGGACTTAATAAACTTTTGCAGCAGTCAACCACGCAACTTCTTCTGTGTTGGTGTCTTTGTGTTGGCGTCTGTGGCTCCACCAGATGTAGCGATGGAGCTAACAGGTGTCAGCCCACTTCTGCACAGACTAAACCAGAGGTGGTCCTCTCACACGATCATCTATGTTAGATTTGGTGGAGTCCCAGACACCAGCACAAAGCCCTGAAGGAGCTACCTGGCTGAAGAAAGTGAAACATCAGTGGCAGTTTAATAATTCCAGATGTTTTGATTAATTTCTTGATAATGTGATATCAGTTTCATCATTTTTCATCTGTTCATCTCACTTTAATCTGAGGCCATATGAACACAACTCTTTATCTTATCATTGATTCAATATTATGTCTGATTCATTCTCTGAGGTATTAAGAATGCTTCTGTGTTTTGTTTTTGTTTTTTTCAGGTTCTCATGCACAAGGTAAGCTCCGATCACACTAACTGGAATGGTTGTACTTCCATACTATGTCAGCTTCAGTTTTTGGGGGGAAATGATATATTTTAAATATTTTATGCATGCTGTCAGTCCCTCCGGTGGACAGCTGCAGATCATACTACCAAGCTGCAGATTTACTTTCACTTGTGCCAAAATTGTTACACAACACTCCAGAACACTACACTACACACTGATCGAAACAAGAATTTTCAAAAGAGGTGAGGAGGAGCGTGATTTCAGATAAAGAGGGAGACATTCCAATTAGAGAAAACTCGGCTTCCTTCTGTCTTGAGGCGATGGTGGGATGGCCTGTGAGTGAAGAGAGTACAGTGATTAATAAATAAATAGAAACATTTTTAAATCACGTCTGTATGTTAACATGAGACCAGTGCAGTGAGACTGGGGTGGTATCTCTTTTTAGAACCTGTGAGCAGCATTTTGGACTCTAATCTGTTGAGTAGTTGAGTTATTAGTTACAAAGATGTGTGATTGTTTTAAAATTCTTGTGATCAGAGCAATGATGTCTTAAATGCAGGAGAATAAAGATGACCCAAACACAAATGACTCCAAATACAACTCCGAGAGGGTAAATGAGAAGTGAAACAATGATAAAAGTTCCTTCACCAGCAGAGGGCACATGAAGCAGGACTGTCAACAGAGTAGTACTACACTTTATTGTAACTGAAAAAGTTAAAATGCAGCTGTGTCAGTCCATGTGCGATCAGCCGCCCTCCCCAGTGAGTCATCTCAGATTTGGCTGATTTAGCTCGTTGAAGTTTTGGGGCCATGCCCACTTTTTCAGAAGCCTTAATTTATAAGCATGTTTGAGAGACCTGAACTTCATTAAAAAAAAAATAGATCTAGGAAGCTGAAAATTTGTATTATTGTAGATTTTTGGTCATAGATTCGGAATCTGTTGTCAAATATTATTTAGGGAGGTGCTTTGGGCCCCCAAAATCTTAAATTTGATTGCCGCTCAATTTCAGTTTTTGATGTCCAAGATCTATTTACTCCAAGCAGATATTTACAAACTAAATGTTGAACCTGAATATTTGAGAGAAAGACTATTTCTGACAACAATCTCACACTATTCTTAGCTTTCATGTGGATGGTGTAGAGTCTCAAATAAGGTCACAGACCAGATGTGATCTTTTTGGCCCCTTCTTTTGACTCTCGGTTCCCCATGTGGACACCGTTGGATGTTGTTAAAATTTTTACCAGAGAAATTATATAAATATTCTGATTAGTTTAAAGTAATAAAAACATCACCTGACATGACCCAAAATCTACAATAATACAAATTTTCAGCTTCCTAGCTTTATTTTTTAAGAAGTTTCTCAAATATGCTCATAAATTAAGGCTTCCAAAATAATGAGCATGGCCCCAAAATTTCAACAGGTTATAACTCAAGGAACGACTGAAGGGATTGAGCTAAAATTTTAGATTCTTTCATTTGGTAATTTTAGAATTTTTTAGAATTTCTTTCAGCCAACTCTGAGATGGCTCATAGGGAAGATTCCTTTGAAACTGCTGACTTCATATGGACTGACCCAGCTGTTAAAAAATTGAGTGGGTTTGTGGGTCCTTCTCCAGGGGGTTGTATTAAAATAGAGAGTATTTTGTGCATTTTGGTGAATTTTAGAATCCCCCAGAGCCCCCAGCTGTCCAAATAAAATAAACCGATGTTCCTGCCCTGAATTCATTAATTAAATCAGATGTTTTGCTCAAAAAATGGTCAAAGAAGGGCCCCGAGGGGAGAGAAAGAAGAGATCTGACCCTGTGAACAAGAGAGAGAATATCTGAATCTGAATATATGAATTTTCCATCTTTATATTTCCTGCTTTAGAGTGAGAGCGTGTGAAGGGACTTAGATGCGTGCAAGATGTTATCCTTGGAGTCTTTGGATTACCATAAACCATAGACCTGTCTCCTTTTACTGTTAAGTCCCTGTTGTGTTCAGACAATGTCAGAGCTGTCCCTCATAACATATATGAACATTGTACAGATTTAAGGTGGAGCTGTGAGCGATAACACATACACACTGGATTTATTGTCAATGTACAAAATAACAAAACAAAACCTGTTTTCAGATTCAGGTTTCAGATTACAGGGAGAGGGCGGGGACGCTTTTACTGCCCTCCTTAAACCCATTGTGGAGCCTAAAGTGTAAATAAAGACTAATCCAGGACTTAACAGCGCCAAAACAGAACTAAACCAGGTCTAAACCAGGTCTAAACCAGAGCTAAACCAGGACTAAAAGAGATCTAAACCAGAATCGGAATCAGAATCAGAATACCTTTAAAGTCATTCCACGCCAAATCTCTGAATGCCCCCACTTGACCATTTTTGATTTGACAGAAAAATAGGAATAGGAAAAGTCCCAAATTTTAGTTCCCAACTCCTTTTAGATTTATCATTAAAAATATTTTGCTAACACCCCCCCCTAACCTGTTTTGAGCAGAGTTTTCCAAGGACCCACTTTAAGATTGCTGTATCTAAAA